CCAGAAAATAAATTAAAAAATCGATTTACGGCAATTGAAGCATGTATGTGGTTAGATAAAATACAGAGATTGAACAATAATATATCTTTTTATCTATCTTTTAGACGATCATTCAAGAGTTGTATTGAAACATGTGGGAAATGATTCCGCAAGTGATTATATTAATGCTTGTTATATCGATGGATCTAAAACACAAAATATGTATATTGCTGCTCAAGGTGAATATGTATAAAGCTAACATTAGTATGATTGACCGTTGCAGACTGTAGTTTCATGAATGAAATGTATTGTGTGGACCCTTTTATGATATAAATTTTTTCATTTTCAGGTCCTACTGATCATACAGTGTATGATTTTCTATGGATGATATGGCAATTACGTATACAATATGTTATTATGATAACAAGATTGTTCGAAGAAGGTAAGGTAAGCCTATGTTCATCTCAAATTTTAAAATCCATATATTATTTTCATAAAATTTTATTTATAAGAACAAATGTTCACAATATTGGCCTGATGAGGGCGAACAGAAGTTGAATGATTTACGTATTAGATTTGAATCGGAAGATAAATATGCTGATTACACAATTCGTCGATTATCCATTTATATGCAATATGATGTAAGGCGTACCAAATTCGAAGTTTAAACATTATTTTATTTTTGGCTATATTATACATGGTTCGATAGAGCTCGACGATGCAATCAAGAATATCTAGGTTTTAGTTTAAAATGATTGGATTTTGAAGGAGAAATTTTCAAAATACTAGAAGGGTCTAGAATTTCATAAAATCGTTGGATTGTGAAAAATATCGAATATTTTTTTCCTGTTCTATTTTCAAAAGTCACAATTTTCTCTTTGAATTTAGCGTAAGAAAATGGGTCTGGAAATGTTATTGGAGTTTGGTCACGTATAACGTGACCAAAATGGAGGAAGCTCATGTTCAGAGAGGATCTAAAGAGCGCGAACAAATTTTGGAAATCTATCTAGTTTTTTCTGTTAAAAGATGTAAGCTTGATTTACATCGCGTTCAATTCGTCTTTACTCATATAAAAAAAGTATTTGTCACTTTTTTTAAAATTCCTTCCTGTTGCTGAGAAAATTCATTTTTTCGAAATCAGAGGCGAAGAAGTCAGAATTCTGTTCATAATTCTTCATTTTCTTCATCAGAACTTAACTTTTATGTAATAAAAATATCATATTCGGAATCAACATCAAAAACTGAGGAGACTACTGTGTATTTCTACCCTATCTGACCACTTTAATTTTTTTCGAATTTCACAATGAATAATTATTGAGATTTTCACCAAAAAATGAAAATCAAGTAAAATTTCAAAATACACAGTAGTCTCCTCAGTTTTTTAGATGAAATTTTAGATTTTAGATGAAATTCTAGATCCTTCTAGTATTTTGAAAATTTCTCCTTCAAAATCCAATCATTTTAAACTAAAACCTAGATATTCTTGATTGCATCGTCGAGCTCTATCAAACCATGTATAATATAGCCAAAAATAAAATAATGTTTAAACTTCGAATTTGGTGCACCTTATATTTATTCGAATTCATTTAGAACAATTATCATTAACTATTGTACTTCTTATTTTTAGCCGTCTGCTGTTTTAACATTTAAACAATATCATTTTCTAACTTGGCCAGATCACGGAGTTCTGACACTACCAACCGTTATACTTGATTTTAGACAACGGTTTCGTGAAGATTATATAACAAAACCACATGTTCCCATTTTAGTACATTGCAGGTATATCATCGGTCTACTTTCTAGTATTCTTCATTTTCGTTCATTTTTTTTCTTCTTCAAGCGCTGGTATCGGTCGAACAGGAACATTTATTGGTTTAGATTCATTACTTGAATTGTCATTACAACAAGATACAATCGATGTACTAGAATTTACCTACTCAATGAGAATGAAGCGTGTACATATGATTCAAACAGTGGATCAGTATGTATTTTTATATCGTGCATTAATCGAAGGTATTCTAACGTGTAATACGAATATACCAGTGCAAGACTTTTCAACAAAAAAAATGAAAATAGATATTAAAACACAATATAAAGTAAAGTTAGATAGATAGAAGCTTTATTCAATAGACTTCACTTTTTCTATTATTTAGCTTCTGGAACAGTTTCAATCAACAATTGAATTAAATTATCGAAGTGCACTAGATCCGATTAATATTAATAAAAATCGATCGGATGCTATATTAGCATGTAAGTATGAAACCTGTAAGTCAATTGTTTTTCTTATTCAAATAAAATTTTAAATGATTAGGCGATTCTGGTCGTCCATATTTAATGACACAAGTTGATAAATGTACAGATTATATAAATGCCGTTTATGTCAATGTAAGTTGTCTTTTTTTAAAAGTTCTTACACAATTTTATTTATTTATTTTTCTATGTAGGCTTACAGACAAGCACCCGTCTATATTGTGACGCAATATCCCCTACCAACGACAATTATTGATTTTTGGAGATTAATTTATGATCATAACATTAATATAATTATGCTGTTAGAATTGATACCACGAGACGCGGTATGGTGATGTCGTTGTGATTTTGATCAAAAATGTTTGAATATAAAACTTAAACTAACAAACGTCAAAGCTAAAACAGATGGGAACCTGTTACTGATTATTCTTTATTTTAGAAAAATCCTCCATATTGGTTGAATGCTGTTGGTCAGTCAATGTTGTGTGGTCCCTTTGAAGTTTCAATGATGTCAATCAAAGAAGATGATGTACTCATCGAAAGATTAATCGATCTAAAATATAAAACTGTAATATCTTCTTGTATAATATTTGCGTGTATGTGGAAACAGTAATTCACCAATTAGAAGATATGTACACAGATTCATTTCTCAATTCTGCCTACAACTAAAAAAAAATGGCGCGGGACAATTAATAATTATTAAAAAGTTCGAAGTCCCAGACACTTTTTTCTTCCACTTGTGGAACTCATCTCGCTGAATCTGGACGGTTGCTTAAAAAATAGAACGTGAAATGGTCCACATTCAGAATTCAGAGAACTATCTCCCGTTCTCAGAATATCTCTACGTTACGTGGTTCTCTAGATCATACGACTCACTTTTTGCAAAAAACGATGACTAAACAAGAAAAGCAAAGTCCCTGAACAAATCCAAAATGTCTATCGACATAATAAAAAGTAAACTAGTGTACGAGACAGAGAATAGAAAAGAAAGCATATAAAAAACAAAAAAAGAAGAGTATAGAATTCATGATAAAAAAATCAGCCTTTTTCCAGTTCTTCTAAAATACTCTTTCTCTTGACTTTAGTCTAGGGTGGTGTTACAAAATGGTTGTCTGTGTGCATGTCTATGTGTTTGTGCGCAAACTACGGAAAAATGGCTAACCGGCATGGACATTCTGTGGATAGACCGATCATAAGGGAGAAAAATCGAAAATCCTTTTTAACTACGAGAGTGAAAATATTCATAACACAAAAGGCATTTGCGGATAATGAAACTTACAGAATATAGATAATCATAGAACCAGAGCTCTGTATGGAACGGAAATTTTTTGGATTCATCGATCTGGACTGGACAGGATTTAAGAGGAGCGGCCCCCTTAAACAAACCCTCAAACTTTGCCAGTTTATAGAGAATATCTTCAAAAAAATCGAAATACTGAGATGCCCTGAAACTGAGCACATGTGGTAATATTTTAAAATTAATTCAAGATGAAACAACAAAAAATGCTTTCTCTTAACTCTACAGAAAATTGGAATTAAGTTATAAAGGATAAACGCTGCAATTAATAGACATGGATACAGTTGAATACGTTTATAATGGATTAAAGTTTGAAACTGTTTTGTTTTTATCTGATGGAGTTTCCAGGTGGTTGATTCCGGCGCCAGAATCCTGTCGAAACCTGCCGGATCCAACACTAGCACATGCCGGAAGTTGTCGGAATTCAGTAAAATCCGGCAGCAACTATGCCGTATTAAGCCGGAAATCCGTTGCTCGGAATCCGTGCCGGAAGATGTCGGAAAAGATCCGATCGGATCCTTCGAGTTTCAGACATCGAAATGTGTTCAGTTTTCAGGTGTTTTAAGGCTTTTTTTATTTTTGCTTTCATTTTCTAGTGGTTTTTCTCCCTGTTCATTCGAGAGAGTGGAAGGGCCCACTAGCTAGGACGTGTACAACACGTCCGTTGAACAGTGTAATTAATGACTCACATCGTTAAGAATTTGAGAAGAACAACTTCTCATTTTTCATTTTCTATAGTGTCATGTTTAAAGTGCTCCTGTCGTGAAATAAAACGGTGAATATATTAAGAGGGGGGTCCTCCCTAAACATACCCTCAAACTTTGCCAGTTTGTAGAGAATACCTTCAATGGTATGCCTATGCAATAAAAAGAATTTTGGTGCAGTATTGACCGAGTTATCAATTAATGAAAATTCAAAATTAATTGATTTTTTAGGTTGAGAGGCATCGTTTAAAAATTTTTTAGTTTTTCATATGAATGTTACATTCAGTTGATTCTGATGTAGTTTTGTAGAGAATTGTTTGTAGATATAATTCCATGCAAAAAGAACATTTAAATGACTTTTTTGAGTACTGTTTAATTGTTAATTAGCTATAATTATCACTAATTAATGATACCGTCGTGCAAAAAATAATTTTTCCCGATGTCATAACAAATCGAAGGAAATCGTGCAATATGTCATTCGATAGAGCTTTCAAGCTCTATCGATCCATCGATTCACTTTTCTTAAGTTTTGATTTTTTCTCAAAAAATCCGCTTGAAATCATTTATGAAGTCAAAAAAAGCTGACTATTTCTGCATTTATTAGTGAAAAATCCGTGAATTAAAATCACACGACGTGTATTAAGGGGTTTTCTTGTATGGAGAATGTTGCCAAGATGTTGTCTTCTATGTCTGATGCTATCGAAACAAAACCAGATCCATATTCAGATGTGTCATGTGTAGCTTGCATTGATTGTAGTTGTTGTTTATTTTTAGCGTTGCGCTGCTGTTTGTTCTGCTTTCTGAATACGTTTTTCATCTCTAGCCACTAAATTCGAATATAATTCTTCGTTAATTTCAATGTCTGATTGTTCGAAGAATTCTAACATCGAAGCGCTACCACCACTGAAGTAAATTGACGCAGCTGCAGTAGCACCTTGTATTGATGCAAATCCATGGTTTTTGGATTTCGATAGTATGGACTATGCTACTGAATTCAAAGACTCATTGAATTCTGTGTAAGACCACGTAAGCATCTAGATAACAATTCTTTTGATGTTAAATCTTCGATCATTTTTTGTAATGCATCAAGAAACACAGGATCAAGCCGGTTTTTGTCCTTTTCTTCATCCTCATTTCCATTCGTTGCTTGATAACGTTTATAACTACACCAATTTGTCATTCCATCTGGACAATAATAATGTTGATTCTCTTTGTTTTCCTGGACGATGAGATGATGAAAAGCAGCTAAGCATTTTTCCTGCAATCTAGCAACTGCTTCTGCTTCATCATCGTTTTCTATAAATGAAAAAAACATGAAAACACGGCGCACAAAATTTTTCCATGATCTCTTCTTTTTAATACTGATGATTACTACCTTGTGCTTCATCACTTCCTTGCCGTACCGCTAGGCCATACATTTACGACATTTTGTGCATCATAGCATCAGTCATACGTCCGGCTGAACCAACAAAAGTGTTGTACACGTCCTAGCTAGTGGACCCTTCCACTCTCTCGAATGAACAGGGAGAAAAACCACTAGAAAATGAAAGAAAAAATAAAAAAAGCCTTAAAACACCTGAAAACTGATCACATTTCGATGTCTGAAACTCGAAGGATCCGATCGGATCTTTTCCGACATCTTCCGGCACGAATTCCGAGCAGCGGATTTCCGGCTTAATACGGCATAGTTGCTGCCGGATTTTACTGAATTCCGACAACTTCCGGCATGTGCTAGTGTTGGATCCGGCAGGTTTCGTCAGGATCCTGGCGCCGGAATCAACCACCTGGAAACTCCATCAGATAAAAACAAAACAGTTTCAAACTTTAATCCATTATAAACGTATTCAACTATATCCATGTCTATTAATTGCAGCGTTTATCCTTTATAACTTAATTCCAATTTTCTGTAGAGTTAAGAGAAAGCATTTTTTTGTTGTTTCATCTTGAATTAATTTTAAAATATTACCACATGTGCTCAGTTTCAGGGCACCTCAGTTTGATCCGATTCGGTTCAAATTTTTGAAACAACCTAGCGGTTTTATTCGGTTAGGATAAATTTCGATTTTTTTTTCGAAGCCGAAGACGCTTTTTTTTTCAGAGTGCACTTGTGTCTAAACAACATATTTGGGATTAGTATTTTTTAACTTAAAATTAAAAGTATAAAGTCGCGATCTGTTCTCCTCTTCTCTTGGGTTTTTCTGTTATTTATTTGTGTATACCCAATAAAATAGATATTATATTGCTTTCTGAAAATGCGGAAAAAAAAATCATAACATAGATACTATATATAAGTACTATGAGTCCGGCGGTCCTTTGTGTCTTTTCTTGTCAACAACCAAAGCTGATTTCGTTTTTCTAGTAATGTTTAAAAAACAATTTGCTACGAAAATTGTTATTCATAACAAATACTCACATCGGAATACTAAACAACTCGATAATATGGGCTCTAGTGAATTCGGATCACGTGCACCAGAAGAAAATTTTCTTTCATGAACAGAAATATACAGAATTGACAAAAATGTTTTTCATCAAGCTCATTAAAAATAAATATTGATTTGCTGTATTCACCATTCTTGTATCATCTGTAGTTTGAGCTCTATACCCCTTTAGAAAAACATTTTTGTCGAACCTGCACAAAAATTAACCAGAAAACGGTAACGTACCTGACTGAGTAGATGAAGAAAGATAGATAAACGAAATCTGATTCGCGCATTTATCAACAGTAAAGCAACACAGTATAATAAGAATATAGCCATAAAGTACAGTGGATTATTGAAATAAACCTGAAAACATTCGATGCTCAAAATAGACTTATTTCCATGCGTTACGTCTATAGGTAGTCCGATGTCTAGAATGCTTCTGATTTGTTTTCGAAATAAATTCATTTCCGTTGTAAGGGTTTATACTTTCGCCTATACTGTCACTCTCTACATTACTGAAAAAAAGAGCATTTTACGGTTAAAATTATATAAAACTAGGGGAACAGACCCACATAGAAAGAGTTGATTAAAATTATCAATGCAGTGCGAAGCTTAACTGCATTATAGTAATCATGTGCACGTCTTTTTATCCCTAGATCAGAAAAAGTGTCATTTTCTGTGACAAGTTTTCCGACAACTACAAGCGTTGTTTCAAAAATTGAAAAGCAAGGAAATAGAACTGTGGCTGAGTGTTGGAATGTCCCCTCTTGAGACTTCCTGGATGTATTGTCTCTTTTCTAGAACATCCGAACGTAGGTTGATTGCAAGTTTGGAACTTTGGAATTTTTCAGCAAAACGATAATTGATCTGAGTATACAGGCGCGATATTCATTATAGTGCAACGTTACTCTTACTGCTGATCGCAAATGCAGCGTTATTCACTTCATTATCTATATATGTGATTGCTATTATGATTGAGTCATTAGTATAGTACAACCTTTATATGCACGACTGTATTGTAAATATGCAGTAACACTTGTGATGCAAATGTTTCGCACAGCATTAGCACGTCTCGCACAGCGTGATTACCATCTAGTTCTAGAATTAGGATTTCAATTCCACTTTACAGATAAAAAATAAAAACTTGTTTCAATCCAAACCACGAGCCCTTCGGTCTCTGGAAGCTAAGATCTTTTGTCCTCCAAAAGGACTTTTTAAAAATGTTTTATTTCCTATTTTGGTTAAAAAAACAATAAGGACACAAATGACTATGATATTCGGCTTCAGCACTCTCGTTACATATAATCAGCTATATTTTGTGCAAAAAGTGAGACAGCACCTGGAGAAGTTCTCTCGTTAGCTGCGAATATTTCAGCCAAAACTAATCATTTATACTAGATAACAATGAATGATGATTCAATGGTAAAAGTGAAGTAATGTTACGTATTTACGCACAAAAGAGATTTAATATACATTGACCATAAGACGATAGACCTGTGGATTTGGAGTGTTTTATTTTCCGTTCATTCTAAATAGAGCAGGAATTTTTTACTTGCATCGACTGTAAGAAAAAACGAATTGACTAGTTGTATAAAGAAATGTGTATTAATGAACATAAAAAAACTCGTCTATGTCCTACTTAACTCTCTACTTCTTCACATCGTGAATTCAAGGCTTTAATAATGTCGAACATATCTACACAAGAGAATCATTGTAAGAGAAACAGAAATAGTTACCAAAAAAAAGAAAAAGAAATGTTGTTTGTAAAGCGGGCAATAGAGAGTGAGAGAGGGAGAAAGAGACAGAGAGGGAGAAGAAGCAAATTTTAGCGAATGACTTCATGTGTTATCTGCTATCATTATGAAAATCGAAAAAATGAAATGATAACAGCATAAAGAAAACAAAAATGATAGATCATTTATATAAAGTGTCCTCGAAATAATAGCAGAGTTTTTGATTTCGGAATTTCTCAAAATGGTGTAGTTTTTTATTCTTAACAATAAATCTTTTGTTCTAAGTTTTTCACAAATACTTTTCTATATAACTATATACTCAGCTTTTTCTCAGTCTCTCTCTTTTTGTCTTCAATTGTGTCAGGTAAGCAGATCACAAGACAAACAAATGTTGCTCCTGTATACGAAGAACTAATAATCATTATGCATACGTTTTAACAGCTATTGTACATGAAATCTCGTCCATTTATTGTGAACGAGTATAGGCGACAATATTGAAAAAAAAAATTTAAATATAAAAAAAAAACGATGGAAGAAGAAACAAGAAAAATCACCCCATTGCCTTCTTGTTCTTCTCATACACCTGTCTATATTTCTTATTGTCCTCATGTGTCGAAACAAGTAGAACAAGCACAAACCAGTTCATTCAATGAGCAACAACAACATTCTGTCTTTAAAAGAAGAGCACCTCCACCACCGCCCATAGAACAAGACGATGATGGAAATTTACCATGTGTTGAATGGAGACAGCCAAAATATAACGTAAAAGCGGAACCAGTTATAGTTTCACCTGAAATACAGTTACCATATCGTCAACGCTCATTAACAACGCCTCCAGTAAACCGCATTAAACCAAAACAGAGAGCAACAGTTTGCGAAATAGTAGAGCGTGAAAACGTGAACGATAGTCAGAACAATAACAATAATAGTTTATATCAGCCGCATGCATTTCATCAACATCCGATAGTTGTTCCAATACGTAATCCAAATCAATATTCAAAAGTACCGTACCCATTACTTGCTGAACCAGTTATGTCATCACATCGGCAGACTTCTAAAATGCGAGGTAGAAAAATCTTTCATATAACAATTAATGGTTACTATTGTCACTTATTTTCATTATAGCTCAGACAATGATGACGAAAAAGGACAAAATCTCACGTTATAATTTAAATAATGCTGACAATCATCGTTCGAATCACGATATTCGCACACAGTCCTTTCTTGAATATTCAAATGACTATTCATCATTTGATCGAAAATATACATTACAAGCAGCAAAATCACATGAAGATCTTTCCTATGATAATCAACCTTATATTGGTAGTGATGATGATATTAGTCACACTAACGAGAATACAATGCCACATAGTTATAGTTCAGCATCATCATCATCTACGTTACCAAATATGAATCGTCCACGTTTAACAAGAACTCAGAGTCAAAACGCAGCAACGGATGATAATGTACAACAGTCTAATATTAGCAATAATACATCGACGTTAAAGAGTAATGAGAAACATTCATTAAAAGTTCCATTATTTCATCGTGTTAGAAATATTATAAAGAAAAAAGGACCTGATATACCAATACAAGAACCACAACAATCAATAATATCAACAATTATGTATCCATCCGAACAACCGACAATAGAGCATACAGGTATGTTCTTATTTTTATAAGAATTTTAAATAGTTTCAAATAGAAACGTAATGATATAGATAGATTTTCTAAATGAGGAAGAAGAAGACTAATGGATAAAGTATAGTTTTTGTCTTACTTTAAGACAAATGATAAAAGGAGTAAAAACAAAAATTTCGATGAACAGGAGAGAAATGGTAATTGAGCTATTGATTTCTTCTTCTTCTTCTTTCTTATCACTAATCAATTACGACCGGGACTATAAATCAAAATAAATATCCAAATTCATGATTGATTCTCTCTTTCTATTACTGTTTGACATTTCTCATTTACCACATAATCACTCTCCATATAAACAAAAGAAAGAAAAATGATTGATTTTTGTTGTTTTGACCATAACTATAAAGAATATTTTGATCTATTGCAATTAGTCAGTATAAATATTCTATTTGTTCAAAGGATATTGTAATCTCTTTATTAAACAGATTATTGCAAGTATAAGCGGCTTACTTCACTCCATTTCATATAATTCCCTGGATTAATAAAGTCACCTTATTGTTTTTAAAATCTTTTTGTTAACAATCAATGTCTTTCAAGATACTGAAAAGTTTTATAAATATTTATCTTAGTTGTATTTAGAATTTAAAATAGCTAAATAAAAGAAAGAACATTAGAGATATATTGAGTAAAATATTGTACAAATAAATCATCATTTAACCTTGAATTGTTATATTATAAAACGAGATTATTTAGCATAAAAATATTATTAGATGAACTTATTTTAAAAAGACAATATGGTCATGACCTTAAACAGAGTATTGTTTTGTGGGATATTATTTTCTAGTCAACATTTTATGTAGAATAGAATATGTCTCGAAGTGAGTAAAAGCCATACCTATTGTCGTTTACCTCTCGATTTTCGAAATTACTTTGACTTGAAGTGGACTTTTCTGATAAGAAAATGAGTCATTGTTCGTATTATGACATTATGACGTACTTTTTATAAAAATAAAAAATAAAAACTATTTTGTTTAACTTTTGAGGTTTTAATTTCGTTTATTATTTCTTATATTTGATGAGTAATAGATCTTACGTTAAACTACGGATACTATAAAAGTTTTTATGACAACATTTGACTATAATATAACGATACTTTCTCTATCAAATTTTCAACTAATAGACAAAAAGTAAATCTTAATATAGAAGAAATATATTTTACGACGATAGAGTGTAATATTTAGACGCTCATTATCGAATTATATTTTTTGATACTTGATAAAAAAATGATTTTGAAGTGTCGATGGACAATAAATGAATTATTAGTCTTTTGCAAATAATTAACCCTAATCATTCTAGTGTTATTTATGTCATTAATGTCTGTAATGTTATTTTTCTTTCTTTATCCTGGGCGTATTAATTCTTCTAAATGTGCATATTATCTAATATTATAAGAAATAAAGAAAGGTATATGCCTACCTGTATATGTCCATGACTTTCTCTCTATGTCTCTCGCTCTCTCTCTATATATATATATATATTCGTTGTATACATTTGTACGCTTATTATTATAACAAAATGTTTGATCTCAGTTATAATATTTAACGATTTTTGCTTTCTCTTTCCCACTAGTAACAGTAATAATCAAAAGAACGTTATAAACATTTATTTATGAGTAATAATAATAATAACAATAATAATAATAATAATAATAATACTAATAATAATAAACCAACAACAACAATTAACAGTAATAATTCTAATCGACCAGTTCGCTTTCATTTCTTCGGTGAAGTAATTAATTTGAAACGGACCAAAAATAGTGAACTAGTAGTTACAAAAGAAAAACCATCAATCACTCATGAAAAGGCAATTGCAAAAGAATCGACTAGTTCGACGGTATCGACACAGTCTTTCCTTCAACGTAAACGTAATGAAATAATGAAAAAATTGTCTAAAGTTCAAAAAGACGAAAAGGAAGTAACAAATGATAATAAAGATTTATTAATCAAATCAAATAGAAAATGGAGAGGTAATTAAAAAATATACCTTGAAGAAATTAACGAGAATAACTTTCTTCATTGAATTACTGTTAATGATGCCAAAAATAAATTAAAATTAAAATAGACATTTCTGCCCGTCTATTATCATTTTTTTTCTATTGTTTTAGGCAAAACAATAATAGGTGGCATTTCTTCAACAAATAATACATCTCCATTTCGAAATCCAATTAAAATACATGAAATACGTTCATGGACCAAACAACTTCCTGAACAACGTATTCGAGACGAATATGAAGTGTGTCTTAATATTATAAATGTGTTTTCTAGTATACAATTATTATTTTCTAATTTAGAAATTACCAAAAGAAATTCTTTATCCGCGTCATATTGCACTTAAACCAGAAAATAAATTAAAAAATCGATTTACGGCAATTGAAGCATGTATGTGGTTAGATAAAATACAGAGATTGAACAATAATATATCTTTTTATCTATCTTTTAGACGATCATTCAAGAGTTGTATTGAAACATGTGGGAAATGATTCCGCAAGTGATTATATTAATGCTTGTTATATCGATGGATCTAAAACACAAAATATGTATATTGCTGCTCAAGGTGAATATGTATAAAGCTAACATTAGTATGATTGACCGTTGCAGACTGTAGTTTCATGAATGAAATGTATTGTGTGGACCCTTTTATGATATAAATTTTTTCATTTTCAGGTCCTACTGATCATACAGTGTATGATTTTCTATGGATGATATGGCAATTACGTATACAATATGTTATTATGATAACAAGATTGTTCGAAGAAGGTAAGGTAAGCCTATGTTCATCTCAAATTTTAAAATCCATATATTATTTTCATAAAATTTTATTTATAAGAACAAATGTTCACAATATTGGCCTGATGAGGGCGAACAGAAGTTGAATGATTTACGTATTAGATTTGAATCGGAAGATAAATATGCTGATTACACAATTCGTCGATTATCCATTTATATGCAATATGATGTAAGGCGTACCAAATTCGAAGTTTAAACATTATTTTATTTTTGGCTATATTATACATGGTTCGATAGAGCTCGACGATGCAATCAAGAATATCTAGGTTTTAGTTTAAAATGATTGGATTTTGAAGGAGAAATTTTCAAAATACTAGAAGGGTCTAGAATTTCATAAAATCGTTGGATTGTGAAAAATATCGAATATTTTTTTCCTGTTCTATTTTCAAAAGTCACAATTTTCTCTTTGAATTTAGCGTAAGAAAATGGGTCTGGAAATGTTATTGGAGTTTGGTCACGTATAACGTGACCAAAATGGAGGAAGCTCATGTTCAGAGAGGATCTAAAGAGCGCGAACAAATTTTGGAAATCTATCTAGTTTTTTCTGTTAAAAGATGTAAGCTTGATTTACATCGCGTTCAATTCGTCTTTACTCATATAAAAAAAGTATTTGTCACTTTTTTTAAAATTCCTTCCTGTTGCTGAGAAAATTCATTTTTTCGAAATCAGAGGCGAAGAAGTCAGAATTCTGTTCATAATTCTTCATTTTCTTCATCAGAACTTAACTTTTATGTAATAAAAATATCATATTCGGAATCAACATCAAAAACTGAGGAGACTACTGTGTATTTCTACCCTATCTGACCACTTTAATTTTTTTCGAATTTCACAATGAATAATTATTGAGATTTTCACCAAAAAATGAAAATCAAGTAAAATTTCAAAATACACAGTAGTCTCCTCAGTTTTTTAGATGAAATTTTAGATTTTAGATGAAATTCTAGATCCTTCTAGTATTTTGAAAATTTCTCCTTCAAAATCCAATCATTTTAAACTAAAACCTAGATATTCTTGATTGCATCGTCGAGCTCTATCAAACCATGTATAATATAGCCAAAAATAAAATAATGTTTAAACTTCGAATTTGGTGCACCTTATATTTATTCGAATTCATTTAGAACAATTATCATTAACTATTGTACTTCTTATTTTTAGCCGTCTGCTGTTTTAACATTTAAACAATATCATTTTCTAACTTGGCCAGATCACGGAGTTCTGACACTACCAACCGTTATACTTGATTTTAGACAACGGTTTCGTGAAGATTATATAACAAAACCACATGTTCCCATTTTAGTACATTGCAGGTATATCATCGGTCTACTTTCTAGTATTCTTCATTTTCGTTCATTTTTTTTCTTCTTCAAGCGCTGGTATCGGTCGAACAGGAACATTTATTGGTTTAGATTCATTACTTGAATTGTCATTACAACAAGATACAATCGATGTACTAGAATTTACCTACTCAATGAGAATGAAGCGTGTACATATGATTCAAACAGTGGATCAGTATGTATTTTTATATCGTGCATTAATCGAAGGTATTCTAACGTGTAATACGAATATACCAGTGCAAGACTTTTCAACAAAAAAAATGAAAATAGATATTAAAACACAATATAAAGTAAAGTTAGATAGATAGAAGCTTTATTCAATAGACTTCACTTTTTCTATTATTTAGCTTCTGGAACAGTTTCAATCAACAATTGAATTAAATTATCGAAGTGCACTAGATCCGATTAATATTAATAAAAATCGATCGGATGCTATATTAGCATGTAAGTATGAAACCTGTAAGTCAATTGTTTTTCTTATTCAAATAAAATTTTAAATGATTAGGCGATTCTGGTCGTCCATATTTAATGACACAAGTTGATAAATGTACAGATTATATAAATGCCGTTTATGTCAATGTAAGTTGTCTTTTTTTAAAAGTTCTTACACAATTTTATTTATTTATTTTTCTATGTAGGCTTACAGACAAGCACCCGTCTATATTGTGACGCAATATCCCCTACCAACGACAATTATTGATTTTTGGAGATTAATTTATGATCATAACATTAATATAATTATGCTGTTAGAATTGATACCACGAGACGCGGTATGGTGATGTCGTTGTGATTTTGATCAAAAATGTTTGAATATAAAACTTAAACTAACAAACGTCAAAGCTAAAACAGATGGGAACCTGTTACTGATTATTCTTTATTTTAGAAAAATCCTCCATATTGGTTGAATGCTGTTGGTCAGTCAATGTTGTGTGGTCCCTTTGAAGTTTCAATGATGTCAATCAAAGAAGATGATGTACTCATCGAAAGATTAATCGATCTAAAATATAAAACTGTAATATCTTCTTGTATAATATTTTTCTGAAAAGAATTTATCTTTTCTACTTTATTTCTACTTTTAGAATGGACGATCAAAAACAATTCGCCATTTTCAAGTGAAAGAACACAGTCGTTTATTATCAATTGCAAAAAGATTTTTAAAAGAAATGAGATCACGAACAGATAATGTCCTATTACAATGTTTGTAAGTAGATAAGTATTTAGTAAACTTAAATAACAGAATAGAGTATATTTGTCTATGCATTTTTATTATAGGAACGGTTTAACATGGTGTGGATATTTTGTCGGTTTATGCAATGCTATTGATAAAATGCAAACCGAACAATATGTTGACGTATTTAAAACTGTTAGACTTATTCGAGCTAATAGACCACAGTTTATTGATCAGGCAAGCTTTTTGCTCAGTTCAATTCATTAAATACACCAACAACTTTTCATTTTTAGAGTCAATATGAAATTTTATTCGTTTCGCTTCATGATTATATTCAACAATATCATATTTCTTCATCTTCTACTTCATCATCGCTGTCAAATAATACTCGTGCCTTTGATAACAGTGTTTATATGAATATTCCACCATCGTCAACTGACGATTCAAATCGAATTATACAAAGACTTTAAGAAAACACGTATTAGTGGCAACATCCTTTTTATAAAAAAAGTTATACCGGTTATGTATGAAATTTTTTTTTTGTTTTGTCTTTTTCTCTGCATGTTATAAATATCTTCTCGCATTAGTTTTTATATAGTTTTTCGCGATTTTCGATAATATTTACTTCTTTATGTTATAGTTTATTTCTGACTTTCATGTTTTCAATATTCGGTGATACAAATAATAAACTGATTTCCTTGTGTGTTTGTGCATGTAGTTCACTAGAATGTTTTATTGACACATTTTCTTTTCTTACAAGAAGATGTGATTATACAACTATTTTGTTACCTTGGCTAACATAACAGCTAAAAATAGTTTTGAACACAGGTTGTGCATGTGTGTAAGAAATATTGTGATATCAGATGTGTGTAGTAGAGAAGTGAACAAACGAATGCAATTGATCGCGACAACTAGCATTATCCATCCTCCAAAATAGATGTGTTTTTTCTGATTTTTTTTATGACTTACGGTCACTGACTAATGCTGTCTTGTACACACACACAACATCATCACAATAAACAAAGGATTAGATCTCTCATAGATCTTGCTTTTTGCATATCATATAATCCTTTGGAACAAGTGCATTGTATGAAGATAGCACCAATCTAATCAAATAATAGATGTCAGTAGCACAATACAGAGTTTTCATTATCTACGTATTGTATAAAAAACATCAATAAACTTTAAAAGCGAGTAGTTATTTACATAATGTTTTTTCTTTTCTTCAGTGATCCGTATTTTTGACTTAAATTAGTCAGACAGCAGTAAAAAAGTTGAAGTTTTATGAATGGTAAAATATTATTTGTTTACTAATATAAACAAAGATGTGTAGGTGTTTTTAAAAAAATACAGTTCTTGTTTTGTACTTTAAAATAATACAAACTATTCATAGCAAAAATTTGTTCTATGGCCAAATTTTGAAGTCATAAAAACAACTTGTAATAAGCTGAGTTTATGCAATCTAGTAAATTTACGTCGTCCAAACTCTAGAAGGTTCTTCTAAGGTATACATAAATCTCATGTATAATCGTTATGACTAATTTATTCTCCGCCCAATATTATCCTTCACATAAGACGTATCTATTAGGAGTGTATGATGATAATAGTCTATAATAACTTTCTTTGCATTGTGTGAGACACCTATTCATTCATGTTAGGTACAAAAATCTAAAGTATAATCGTGGTCACGGATGATGTGATACAACGTGATAAAATTCGATGAAAAGGTAAAAAAATTTTGAACACGAACAATCGCAGCTCTTTCTTCTATTGTAAAATAATACTTTATTCTTTTTTCTTTGATTATATATCTTTCAAACACCTTTCGTTGTTTCGTTGCATTTCACTAGCTCTCGATAACGCGACTGAAAAACATCTCGGATATAACGACGATTTTTTGTGTAAACAATGAGGTAAGTGAATCAAGAGTGTTTTTTTGTTATGCTAACAGTTTTCGATTTACTTTAACATTTCTGCTAAAGTCTGAACTCATTGAAAGTGAATGTATATCTATCTACTCATTCCATTTGTGAACTTTTGTTGACTATAGAATGTAGGCTCAGTATTGTAAATTAGAAATTTATATAAAATCATTTTGACAATTTCTCATGTAACAATGAGAATATAATGATTGCGCAATGACAGACTAAAACCTTGCATATGAGTACACATTTTCATTTAGAAAGAAATTACGTCTCACTTGTCAGTAGTTTGCAGAACTTTCTCATACTGCTTCTAAGGATTAATTCTAATTAATATTTCATTTTATTTACTAGCAAACCAAGGTAGTTATATGCATGTTTTCTTGATTGCTTGTGTTTTGATTACTAATTCATGGTAATAAGTAGGCATGCACCAGTTTTTAACTGATGTTGGGGCATCCGGAAGAATTGCTATAAATCAGTTATCACGATTCTCTCAGAGCCGTAAAACATCTAATTTTGTAGAAAAATGTTTGCTCTACAAAATGCATTTGTTAAAAGAATTCCAGAATCATTTCTAAGAAAACTCGAAGTATTCAAAAATACATAAAACCACGGAAAAAAACCTGTTCGAACA